TATTTCATATGCATGTTCCAAGTCGTTTTTTGGGGTGATGCCATCTTGACTGCTTGCCATCTTATCAACCGTGTGTCCTCTACAATCTTAAAGGGAAAATCTCATCATTCTGTCTTTTTTTTTGGCTCTCCTTTGTTTACTCTTTCTCTAAAAGTGTTTGGATGTGTCTCTTATATCCACAATCTCGGTCTTGGTTTTGATATGCTTGAACCCTAGGCTACTAAGTGTATCTTCCTTGGTTACTCTTATATTCATAAAGGCTATCGTTGTTATAGTCTTATTCTTTGTCAATGCTAATGCTACTTTTTGGGAGTCTACTCCTCATTTTCTACTCTTCGAGGGTCTTATGGAGTTGCCTTCGGTGTCTTGACTCACTCCCATTTCCACTTCCACTTCTAGCTCCAGTTCCCTTGTCCTCTGTTCCATCGGTGCCCACGTGATAGAGATCGAAATAGGATTGGATGAGTTTAAATTTAAGAATTGAATTTTATTATTTATTTTAGTATTAGTTTATTAGTTAGGAAATATTTATTTGACTAGGAGTATTAATTAGAGTTTGACCAGGAAATTATTATAGAGTTTTAGTAGGATAGAGATTTGAGAGTTTGATTATGAAACTCTTTTCGTATTTTAATAGGAAAGTAGTTTTTATTTTAGTAGGGAACTTGACCTATAAATAAAGGTGTAATTCCAATTATTTTTATTAGAGAGATTATGAATAAGAATTGAGTATTCTCTGTGGAGATTTGCGTGTTTCTTCACTAATTTCTTGCAAGGATGAGGTAAATCCTTTCTACCCCTTTTCTTTATTCTTCTCTTTCTATTCTGTGATTTTTAGTTTTTTCCGATTTACATCAATTTGGTATCAGAGCCCAACTTTGATTCGTACCAAAAAAAAAGAAGTTCATTGCAGCACTGTTCAGCGGTACTGTTCATCGCGCTGTTGAGTTAAAAAAAAAAAACTCTCCCAACAGATTTAGAAAATTGTAGCAACATCCCAGCTGTTTCAAAAATTACAGAAACACCCCAGAAAGTTTCAGAAGTTGCAGAACCACCACCAGAAGTTTTAAAAATTGTGGAATCTTCCCCCTAGTAGTTCTAGAATATCATAAACATCCCTAACATATACCTAAAATTATATAATCATCCCCAAAAAATTTCAGAATTTCCTCTTGATTATGATGGTTTCCAATGCCGAATTAAATGCTAAAGGGGAGGCTTTATCCCAAGCACAAATTGATTCACAAAAGACTGAATGCTAGACTAAATACAATTCAAGCATCTATCAATTCACTAAGAGAACTTGTGCTCGCTACAATTTGTGAAACCAAAACAAGTGAAAATTTTAACTTTGTCTCTTCAACTATCAATCAAAAAGTGGTTGAACACAACCCTCCATTTATACCACAAGTTCCACCACTACAGGTTCTAATTCGATTGAATGACAATAAATCGAAGCTATTCAATGTTGATAAGCCCAAAAGTTCTACTTCTACTCATCCTATAACAATTGCTTTAGATAAGCCGATTGCAAAAGATGTTCCAACAGATGAAGTTAAGCAAGTTTTAAACGTGATTTTTTTAGCTGGGGTTGCTACTTTTTCATCAACATCATCATAATCCTTTTATTTGGAACAAAGTGTGAAGGTTATGAAGATTCGAGATATAGATTCCTCCCATTGTGATATCATATATTATGTTATTGATGAGAAATCTTACTTCTATGCTATCGGGCTTGAAGATGTGTTTCACCATTTGATCTCAATTCTCTTGGAGTATCCTTGTTACAACTCCTCTTCGGAGAAGAGTTTTTTTCAATCGAGGAGAATTGATAGAGATCGAAAAGGGATTGAATGAGTTTAAATTTAAGAATTGAATTTTATTATTTGTTTTAGTATTATTTTATTAGTTAGAAAATATTTGTTTGACTAGGAGTATAAATTAGAGTTTGACTAGAAAATTATTATAGAGTTTTAGTAGGATAGGGATTTGAGAGTTTGATTATGAAATTTTTTAGTATTTTAGTAGGAAAGTAGTTTTTATTTTAGTAGGGAACTTGGCTTATAAATAAAGGTGTAATCCCAATTATTTTTATTAGAGAGATTATGAATAAGAATTGAGTATTCTCTGCGGAGATTTACGTGTTTTTTCACTGATTCCTTGTAAGGATGAGGTAAACCCCTTCCACCCCTTTTCTTTCTTCTTCTCTTTCTATTCTGTGATTTCTAGTCTTTCCCAATTTACATCACCACAACTCCGAGTCCACATCTTCCTATACCTGGTATTCGTGTTTACACTCATCGGTTAAGGCCACTTGCTCTAGCTCCACCACCACAACCACCACTGTCTTTGGGTCCACCCTCATATGTGTCTGATTTTTACCTATTGCTCTTTGTAGAGGTACCTGTTCTAGTGTTACCAACCACCCTATTACTAACTATGTTTATTCTAATTTGCTATATCCTTCATTTTTCTGTTTTACTTCTTAGTTATCGAAAATATCTATTCTTAAGACTTTAGCCGAAGCCTTCTCAGGTTCGGGTTGGTAGACAACTTTGGAGGACGAGATGAATGTTCTCCATCAGAATCATACTATAGGAATATGCCTATTCATAAGAGTTGTACTGTATCTAACAATCGGTCAACATCTCATTTAGTGTAATAACAATTGGTCTCATTGTGAACCACTAATAGATGTGATAGAATAGAGGAGAGAGAGGGAGAGAACTAAGAATCGTGATCAAGAGAGATAGAACCTTTGATCAAGTGAAAGTTGTTCTACTAGGAAGAACATATGAGGCTTGGCCTCCGCTTCTTATTGCCCGAAGAAGAAGGAGGAGAAGAAGTAGAAGAAGAAGAAGAAGAAGGGTTTTTGATTTAGGGTTAAAAATTTGATGAGTTGCATGTGATTGCTTAGGTGTCTCCAATTTTTGCTTTATTTCATTTGAATCTAGTTTTCAATTGGTTTACTAGTTTACATATTAGATTGATTGGGCTTTCTACAAATGTAGCTTCTCCTTTTTTTCTCCCATTCTCTTATTTTGTTTTTTTGTTTCCGCTGCTCGTCTGAGAATTGGAGATTGATTCGAGTCATATCGGTTTGATTCAGTTCAAATGAAATGACTATCCGATTCAGATGAGTCTAGTGATATTCATGTAACATCGTTATCGGATCGAAGGTGGCCGAGTCTACTTAAACTCAGTCGGTACCTTGAACCTTTGATCCACAGCTATAGGTAATTGAGTACCAACAACAAGAAGCTTCACCAACGATGAACAGTGACCAGGACCAACAACCATCAATGATCCTTTAATAGGGCTTATGATCAAAGTATCGGCCGATTCTGATAGGACTCATGTGAGTCGTATCCGATTCGGCCACCTCTGATTCAATAACGGTACACGATAAGCAAATATGACGAGGCAGAGTTGAATCGGTATTGACTCAGTTACCACTCGATTGTATCGTACCAACTCGGCTCAAAGCGGACCAACTTGGCCAAGTCAATACCAAATCAAGCTGACCTTTGCAACTTTTCAGACAACCTTCACCGGCCGAAAAAAGGGAAGAAAGAATGAGAAGAAAATAAGAGACCCAAGAAAATAAGAAATTATATAACCCTAAATTACTCCCATTTTTCCAATCATTCAAAGGGAAGAAAAAATTGAAAAGATTTTAAGAAAATCTAGAAGTTGTGAAGTAAAGAGTCCCTTTCCTCCTCCTTCCTTTTCTCTTTGATGAAGCAATTGTATAGTTGCAGCAAACAACTTCTTTCTTCAATTGAAATTGTCCTAGGTTCTTTGTCTCCTCTCTCTTTATATGTCTCTCATCTTCTCCCTCCGTCTTTCTCTCCCTCTTCGTTTTCTCTCTGTCCTAGACTCTTTGTAATCTCTACCACGTGCAAGAGTCCTATATTTTTAAAAAATTTTGAACCTTTAAATTTAGATATTGAAATTACATTAAATTTAGATTTAAAATTTTAATTCACACTATTTATTTATTTTTTATTTTGAATTCAAAAAACCTTTAAAATTAGATCATAATATTTTCTAAATAATTATAGTAACACGTTTATTGCTTAACAATTTTCGGTGGCACCTTTATCTTTCTTTTATACTATAGAGGATGTATTTTGAACATAAGATGCATGGATTTTGTTATTTTTATTTTTTAGATTTTTTAAGATTTTTTTTGAATTTTTCGGACCCCTTATGTATCATTTTGTGCGTATCGGTGGATACTGTTTGGTAACGCCACGACTGATTTGTATCAGTACCCTTCAAGTCGCTGATATCACGGACTCGAACCATGGATCCGACGACCTTCTCCCTTTACGGTCAATCATTGATGAGGAAAACCATTTGGGAAGCCGAAGGAAAAAAAAGAGAAGAAGAAAGGAAGGAATGAGTTGATTATGGTGGAGGCTCTAACACCAAGTGAAGATTAAAGTATTAGGGTTCGGAGAGGAGAGGGAGTTTAAGAGAACAAGAAATTGACAAAACAAGCACACAACCTCTATCCCCCTTATATATATATGCTTTGAGAAAAAAGACCAGTATAATTTATTACAAAATTCTCATTGTAATAGTGTTTATGTTTGCACATTGATGCAACTGATTGTATGTCATCTCTGCATGTGCGGGGTTTTAAGAGCAAGAATCAAAATTTTATTTTAGTTATAGCTAAAAAATGGAAACATTTCGGAAACAAAATGTAATCATAAATAAAAATTGAAAATTAATTTGTGAAACATTTCAAAACATTGACTGAAATATAACGAAAGATTCTGAAACGCCTAGAAACATTCTAAAACACCTCAAAATTTTGAAACATGAATTTTGATATTCAAGCAGCCATTCATTTTGGTGGGAACATATCAAAATTTTGTCCTTTGGTTAAGAGCTTGACATGCATTGTAGGCCCATTCTCTGATAATCTATGCTTTTGAAGTAATTGTTTGTTTGACAAAAACATCGTATCTTTCCATGAATCTTGAGGAATGTCTCATCATTTCACCTTATGTAATGTATTGTGCCCCTTTCTCTTTGTTTTAGCTCTGGAGCTGATAGATCATCTGCGTGCAATGGGTGAAACCAATGCTCTATTACAAAGGAACAAAGTAAGTAATCTTTTGGAGATTGATATTAATTCTTTTTATCAACATATTTCCTTTTGGATTTTTAAAAATTAAAGAGCATAAACTATTTCTAGAGATTTTGAACAACACTTCAAATTTCTTCCTTTTGTTCCCTCCTCTTCTGAGTGATATTAGATCTTGAAGAGAGAAACAGCCCTGGCAACTGCAGCTGTTTATGACTCAATGTTTGCTGCAGAAGATGGCACTATTCCAGCAACCTTCCAGGTGATTGCAATAAAGTGCTTTATCAGATTAATAGCTTGACATCTTTATTATTCTTTTCCCTGCTTGGAACAATAAGGATAATACCACCCCTAGTTTTGAAAATTTCTTTTTTGCCCCCTATTTTTTAGAACTTTTGACATATTGCTATGGTGGCCCATAAAATAATGCATCTTTTCAATGTGACCCCTCTTAATTCCCATATTGTGTTCTTACACTCTTGGTTGGCCTTTGTTGTTTTGAATTCTTGGCTTCACTGTAGTTGTATATGAGGCCAGGGTCCCGTGTTAGATGGTCTTTTGAAGTCCATTTCAGGCTATAATAGTTATGTATTACATGCACATTTTTAAAGTCAAGGACTTTATTATGTGTGGTTAAGTAGTCAAGCACAGTGGATGGGGCACTTCTTTTGTCTTTGTATGCCTTGTTTCATAAGGCCATGTCTTGGAACCTATCTTTTCTTTTCTTTTTTCCTTTTTGGGTAGGTATACCTTTCATATTTCTAAACTGTAGATTGATACAACCATGTCATCGGATACTTCTGCGAACAGTTTTTGTAGCTATTAGTGGTGTAAATAAGCATTTTTCTTTAATTTGGTTCCCCGCTGAATTGTTGGAATGCTTTTGCATGTGTTTTCTACTTTATGATATTTCTTTGTTCAAATGTCTTACATATTTTCCATATCATCTGTGGCATCAGTTATCATAATCAATGTTTTTCATATCAGCTATCTTAATATACATTTGAATTCAATTAATGAACTGGAAAATAAGCAAAAAAAAAAAAAAAAGTAAAAATTTGAAATGAATGTTGGGAAATAAATTTAGTTACTTTATACATGTAAGTGTTCAATACTCATCTTGTGAGATCTATGCTGAAAACTAAAGTACTTGTAAGATTAATTTTTGTAATATGGCATTCCGTTGTATTTATTAAAGAGTGGATAGAGCTCCGTGATACAGTAATGGTAAGCATTTCTCATAGGTCAGATTGGGAAGGAAAGGTATAGATACAAAGTTCTGCAATATACCTATCTATACTTATAATCCAAAAAAGATATATCTCTACTTAGTGGACAATATGTGTTTGATGAGGTCTTTACCTCATTATTTGGATTTGAAGTTCATATTTGTATTTTTTAAATTTTGAATGTTTAGCATATAGTGGAAAATTGAATGAGTTGTATAAAAATATGACAAAGTGCAATTATATTCGACCCTGTTTGAATAAAGGCCTTAGGGTTCCTTATTTTGAAGACATGATGAAGTAACTTCTTTGATCTTTGTTTCATTGCTGAGAGAGACGTGGAAAGAAAAATATAAGCAAATTCTTACGATATTTTTTTCTGTATGTTACTTGGAAACCAACAATGCATTTACAGCTTTGATTTTTGTTTCTGGATTTCTAGTTCTTTTGTCCTCGACGCTATTGTGCTTTGCCAGTGTCTAGACCTTAATGTGTGCTGAAACAACGTCGAAAAATTCCTAATTACCATGTTCACTGCCATTTTATGTTCAGGTTATATACATGACAGGGTGGAGTGAGCACCCATCTCAGCAGAAGGCTAAAAGGAGGGGATCTGCCACGATCTCGTTCAAGGACATTCAGACACAGTTTGGTGGTGGGAATGCCAGTTGACTCTCTCTCATGATATTCATCAATTTTTTGCAAAATTTGTCAAATGTCATACACGTGGAGTGTAATCTAGAGTCTGCAATCTAGCAGAACAAGGAGGAGGTAATAGGCCTTCAGTTATAGTTCCCAATTAGTTTGCCTCCTAATATTATTTTTTCACAGACCGTGCCTTAACATCTACTGATTTTTACGTTGTTTCTTATGGTGCTTTGTGCACATTACAATATAAGCTTACCATGCAGGATATTGTAAGAAGCTTTTCATTGACTGTTATGCCACTGTGATCATGTGGCTTGTATGAAGCATCATAAAGAAAATTGGGGGACTTGATGTCGTTTAGCATGTAAGCATTATTTTACCACGAAATGCACTCAGCCAGTATGCCACAGGTCTGTTGGCGATGAATGCATGATTGGAGTCGAATTGGAATTCTAGTAAGCAGGGTTAACATTTTTTGAGATGCATAACCATATTACTGCTGAGAAACTATGTTTTCTATATTGATGGATATTTCAAAAAATAGGACTAGCCTTGTTGAAAAGCCATTTTGGCTTAACCTGGTGCTCGGCACCATCCCAAAAAAGGAGCCTCAAGGCTAAGGGAGAGGATTTGAGAAGATTTTTCTGCCCAACTATTAAATTTTCATAATTTTGAATTATTTAAAATAGTTCTCTCTCTATACGGTCTATGTAACCACTTGAATCATGTTTTTAAATTGCTGCACTTTTGAATTTTTTATTTTCTTCGGTAATATTTCACATTTAATTTAGCACATTAATCACGTTGGGGTTATGGGTGATGATGTGTGTTTTTTTTTTCTTTTTTTTTTTTTTCTTTTTGGGGGGGAGGGGGGGTGTTGTATCGGCCTACACTGGAGAAAGATTATGAGTTTTGTGAATTGCATAGGGCGGCTGCTAGTTCTCAATTGAGATCAAGGAAAGGGGTCATATGATCTGGCAGAGGCCTACCAAGCTGAATTTTTCCAGTGACAATGGGAGCTGCCTGGGGTTACAAAGGGGGAATGGACTTGTGTTGCATAGTTATCAAAACCCGATTTGACATTGGCCTGGCAAAAGGACAGCATCAATGAGTTATTGGTTGGACTGATTGTATAAAAAAAATTATAAAAAATAATATTTTAACCAAAAAAATTAATTAATTAATCCATTTATCGACAGTTACTTCTTGTGTGTATAAATATTTAAATACATAAATGGTAGGAGACGAAATCTTGTGAATGTGATCAAGTTCAAAATCTATGTTTTTTCTTTTGACATTCAGCACTAAGAATATTTAGTAGGCCAACAACTAAATAGTCAACATTCAAAACCACAGTTTTAAAACCCATTCCGGCCCTTCGGATTGACTAGGTGGACCGGTGAATTGGTCACCAATTCGGGACGGGTAGTGTATTAGATCGTTTCAGCTTAAAATCTAATCAAAATTTGTTAAACCAGACGGTTATTGACAACTCGGACGGGTCAATTTAAAAACTATTAAAGGAAGACTTTTGGCCCTTTTAGGCATTTTTGCCCTAACCTAATCGCTCACGCGTTGCCTCTCTCTCAACTCAGAGACTCTTTGTCTCTCTCATCGGTGAATGAATCAATCCTCTCTCTCTCTCAGTCGAACTCGAACGGAGTAGCCCTTTTAATCGAACTCAAACTTGAACGAATCAACTCTCTCTCTCCCAATTGAAGTGTCGAACGAAGGCAATATCTTCTCCTTTACTTGATAGGTAGTTCATCACACTTCTCTTTCAGTCTGCGCAAATGGTGGTGAACTGGTAATTGTAGCTTCAATTTTTCATTCTTTGGTTAATTATTTTAGGAATATTAACTTAGTTCAGTGAAAAATTTGGAAAATTTTAGTTTATTTGCTATCAATCTATTATGATTGGTACCATGTGGTTGATGAATCTTGAGCATTCAATTTGGTGTAGTTGATGAATGTTTGTTGTAGTTGATGAATCTTGAACATTCAATTAGATATATGTTTGATAATATTTTGATTTTTGTTTGATTTAATTGGCGTAATTATTAGTGGAGAATACTTCATTTCCTTTCTAGTCTGCATTCAGATCTGGTCTACATTTACTTCTTACCTATTGGTTTGCATCAATATTATTAGAACTAGATCGGACATCGAACTGACAGAGGGACTGGATCAATGGTTCACTGGTTCAACGGTTGGATTAACTGGTTGAACCGGTCGTATAATAAAAAAAATAAAAAAAATTATAAAATATAAAAATTTAACTAAAAATTTACAATCACAATAAAAATCAAATAGTGTACTGTGTATGTGCTATTTACTGTTGAGTTGAATGTGTGTGTATTAAATATTTAATTTATATTTAATTTTTCTATATGACCGTGTGTATGTGCACGTGTAGAGAGAGGGAGAAAGAGACAAAAAACAATCCCAGCATGTGAGAGAGAGAAGGAGTGGGAGTTTGATCTAAGCGATGCCAATGATACTTTTCTTGTCCCACGCTCTTAGTTAGGTCCTAATAACCTAGGTGAGTCCTTATTTAGGGTAGTCTCAACTTGCCTCGTCTTATTGTTCTATTTGCTAACCTCATTCCCTTGAGTTGCTTTAGGTATCCGCCTTGAGCTAGGAGGTGAGGACAGGTTTGCTTTGCTAGAACTTGAAGATTGTTGCCCGGAGAAGTATTCTAACTTGATCAAGCATTCTATGCTTACCAAGCTAGGGTTCAGCCTTCTCGAGGTGACTATAAAGACTCCTATTCCTATTTCTGTTGTTGTGCAGAGGAGGTTGCAGGTAACGCTTCCTCCCTTCTATCCTTAACTTCTATTTTACTTCTTCCTTCTTTCTGATTTGTTTGCTTTGGGTTTCCAGGTTCTAGCTCAATGGCTCCAGGTTTTGAAGCTTTGAAGGCGAAGGTTGCCCTATTGAGGAAGGGCAAGAGTGGAAGAAAGTGCAAGGTGGAGGTCAGATCCGGAAGCGACTCTGCCCCTCTTGCCAAGGTGCAGAGGACAGAGGTTCCCCCTACTTCCTCCCCTACCTCCCAAGTGGTTTCTACTCCACCACTAAGCTCATCAGAGGTCGCACGGACCTCAGTCCTATAGGAAACCTTGCCTTCCTTTTCAGGAGGAGCTCTTGAACAAGTTGGGGCGTTAGCATCTCCTTCATCGACAGAGGTCCAGGGGGCTTTAGAGTCAATTGCCCACATCCTGCATGGACCTCCTTCTCCCATACCTACTGAGAAGATTCATCGCTTGCTGGTGGAGGTTGTGAAGGCCGAGAAAGGCAATGGCTCACATGTTGATAATGTGAGGCTTTTTGTTGAGGCCATCGCCTCGATAATCTTTGAGTCTGACATCCAGAAGGTTGCCACTATGTCCCTCTCCTCTTGTGTTACTACTGCTTTGTATGGGGCTACTTCGGTAAGCTTTTATTTCTCCAAGTTTCATCCTGTGTTGTTGCTTCGTGCTGATTCTAGCCTTTGGTTGTATTTTCCTCTAGCTGGCCATTTATATGAGCACTTTGACGAGTAGGATTAGGACTTTGGAGAGCTCAGCCAAGGTGTTGAAGGCTTCTGAGCTCAAGGTTGCCGAGTTGACTTTCTCTAATGATGACCTCAAGGCTCAGGTATAGGACTTGCAAGCACAGGTAGAGAGGTTGTCTTTTGCTAACAAGGATTTGGAGGTTGAAAAAGGAAAACCAAGGATGAGGTGAAGAAGATCAATGAAGAGCTTAGGTTGAAGACTAGCAATTGGGTTCAGGCTTGCAAGGATGCCTTCGATGTTTTTGAGTCTTATGAGGCTATAAAGAGAGAATACAACGTCTTGGCTGAAGTAAATGACACTCTGTGGAGAGAGATTGAGGTTGAGAGAGTTGGCGTTAAAAAGAGGGATGCTCTGATTGCCAAGCTAGAAGATGAGGCTACCACTAAATGGGCCCTTGGGTACCATGCTTTCCAAGACCAAGCTACGCAGAAGTATCTAGACCTACATTTTGAATTTGATCCCCCTTTGGATAAGGAGGAGGTGCCAAGCACTGGGAAAGAGGCTAAGGTTTTGGTCCCCTTTACTTTAGAGCTTGCTCTCGAGGGTGCTGAGGTATTTGTCTTTTCAACCGAGGTCCTTGCCCACGTGGTTTCGTTTGCTCCAGCTACCTCTGTAACTCTTGCTCCTATTCCAACTTTTGCTTCTGGGATTACTGTGTTGTTTGTTGTTCCTACTGACCCTACTCTAATTGATTCTCCTGAGGCTCTTGTGTTGACTAAGGTTCCTGCTGTCCCTACTCAACTAATGCTCCCAATATTCTTGAGCTGCCTGAGGCTCTAGCTGTCCCTTCTTCAACTGATGCTCCCAAGGTTCCTGAGCTACCTGAGGCTCCAGTTGACTCGACTGCAGGGATTTAAGATTCCTTTGTATTTTGTTTTCTTTTCTTGTAGATGGCTCTATACTGTTTCTTTTGAGAAATGAAAAAATATTTTTGTCCAATGTTCTTGTATTCTTGCTTTTAAATTGTTGTACTTCCGATTGCTGTGCTGTGCTCTTGCATTCTTTCTATTCCCCTCTGTCCCTTGCTTCGGGGAGAACTTAGTTCTTCTTGAAGTATGAGGTTAGATTACCCAAGTTGGGAGTCTGTCCCTGGTTTAAGCCGAGGTGCTAGCTACAAAGATCTTGCGGTTTGAAGAGCTCATCCTGAAGAGATCATTTTCTAGTGAACTGAAGAGCCCATCCCTGTGAGCCGAAGAGCTCTGCTTAAGCTAGGCTGAAGAGGTCATCCTTGAGCTGAATTGAGTTGCTTGTATTTGAGCTCTACCTAGTCTGAGTTGAGCTTAACAAATCTGAGCTTCTCCTTTAGCATGGAGCACCTACTTTCTTATCGTTATTTGTGCCCACCTACTTCCTTAAAATGCCTCCATCGTCATAATTTTGGAAGCTTAAGGGGCAGCCTCTTCGTCTTTCATACATTTATTGCTCCCTTAAAACTCAAGATTTCTTATTGTCTACAAATCTTGGAATTTCTTCTTCACGTTCCTCATTCTTCCTGAGTCTTCCTCTTAATTTTCATGGCTCCCTCTCTTACTCCCTTGTTCAAATAATGAACCCAAACGATGATTGACATGGTGTGGCACCCTAACTTCTTGTTTCCTTCTGCGATTACCGCTATAGAGTTAGAAGGAATCAAGAGGCGATATCTTCTTCTTGGTGACTTACCTCTCCGAGTCCCAACTCCTGATGAGCCCTACAACTTTCTCCCCAAATGCAAAATTTGTTTTTTTGAAGGTGCTTTCAAGATAGGTCTTTGTCTTCCCATCCATCTCTCCATTGGGTGGATTCTGGCGTTCTTTGGGTTGTGCCCCTTTCTTCTTTCTCCTGAAGGATGGGGTGTTATGATTAGCTTCTTTATCTTTTGGTGCCTGCAAGAAAATAGTGAATTCCCTACTGTTGCCGAGTTCCTCTATTTTGATGAACTTGATCACGCATACCCCCTTGCTTTAGTCGTTTTAGATAGAGCCGCCACTTCGATCTTTAGTCCTCGTTGTTTCCAATTCTCCTGAAGGGTGGATTCAACACTTTTTCTTTGCCTCTTAGGAGTCTTGGAGGTCTGTTGATTAGCGGTCTTCACGTTCTCGGGTCCCTCGCTTTTGGGGGTGCTTCTCTCATAGAGGTAGAGGCTTAGGATCTGTTTTGTTATAAATATAGTGATTGGTTCTTATTGTGCTTTCTCTGTGCAGGTGCCCCCAGTCTGACATCGGCAGAGTTGGTGAGGGTCGGCCAAGTGGCTCATGTTGAGGCTATTCCCTTCTCATCGCTAGTCACTTCCCAGAATCTTTTCTGGCTTGGAGTTTCTATCGCCACTATGGATGCTATCTCACGACCTTTGTCTCCTATTCTTGATGTAGACTCCTCTTCTGCTGAGTTAGATAAGGATGAGGATGTTACCCCCTCTTCGAGGAAATGTAAAAGGAGCAGCACCTCATCTCAGACGTCTGGTTCCTCTTTTGATGGTTACTTTATAGCTACTCACCAAAGTGGAGAGAGAACGTGATGAGCTAAAGGAAGAGAATGATCGTCTGCAGGCTGTGAATGCTCATTTGGAAGAGAAAATATATGAGTTGAAGAGAAGGCCTGGAGGGGCTTAGGTTTTTTTCCCTTTCTTTCCTTTGGAATTTGTCGTGCTTATAAATAAAAAAAAATCTCTTTTTCTGCTTTGCTTATTTCTTAGCAATTCTACCTTGTTGGTAGCTTTGTTTATGAGCTGAAGGGCTCATTTTTCATGAGTTGAGGAGCTCATTTCTTGCTTGTGAGCTGAAGGACTCATCATTTGTATACGAGCTGAAGAGCTCATTGTTTGTTTGTTTATGAGCTGGAGAGCTCATTGTTGGTTTATGAGTTGGAAAGCTTATCGTTTGTTTATGAGCTGAAGAACTCATCGATTGTTTATGAGTTGAGAAACTTGTCTTATATTTATGAGCTGGATAGCTCATCTTGCTTTTATGAGCTGAAGAGCTCATCGGGTGTTTATGAGTTTGAAAAATTCATCTTATATTTATGAGCTGGATAGCTCATCTTCAGCTTTAGGCTGCTAGTGAAATGCTTGACTGATCTGTAACTTGTTATTTTATTGATGATGACCTTCTTACAAGAGTTTATTGAAAGAATCTTTTCAAAGGTTTTGCGTTCCAAGAGTGGGGTAAGACTTTCTCTTCTTCCGTTTGCAACTCATAGTTCCCAAGTCTGATTACCTTCTTCTTACAAGAGTTTTTTGGGATTTGCGGGCAAAGTTCCATCTTGAAGGTATTCTTTGATTGGGTCCATCCAGCTCGGTTGAGCCAATACACGGAATATTTCTTTTTCTTCGTGGCTCACAGATGGTTTAGCTAGATGCTCTATTGGGATTAACTTGTCCAGGTTCTCATGAGAGATCGTTGCAAGCCTTGCTAATGCGTATGCTCGAGAATTCTCAATTCTAGAGACATGCTTGATTTTGACTTGTACGAATTTCCTTATTAGTTCCCACACCTTTTATAGGTGTAGGATCATCCACTCTCCCTTAGTCTCATAGGTCTCTTCTATTTGTTTTATCACAAGTTGGGAGTCACTATAGATTTTGAGCTGTTCTGCCTCCATTGAGTGGGCCAAATTGAGTCCAGCGATGATAGCTTCATATTATGCTTCATTCTTTGAAACCTTGAAACTGAATCTGATGGCATATTTGACATCTATTCCATCAGGGGAGGTCAGGATCAATCCTACACCACTGCCTTGGGCATTGGCGGCTTCATCTACTGAAAGCTTCCATGTAGGGAGGTCAGGAACTAGCTGGGTTGACTCCAAAGATGCTTCTGTGTCTGTAATGAATTCTACAATGAAATCTGCCAGAATTTGCCCTTTGATTGCGATTTTGGGTTTGCACCTGATATCAAACTCACTGAGCTCTATGGCCCATTTGACCAGCCTTCCTGAAGATTCTGGTTTATGCAATACTTGTTTCATTGGCTAGTCTGTTGGGACCTCAATGGTGTGAGCTTGGAAATATGGTTTGAGCTTTCTTGTTGTCGTAACCAAAGCTAGGACTAGTTTCTCTATCTTTGGATATCTCTCCTCTGCCCCCTCAGAGCTCTGCTATAGTAGTAAACTGGTTGCTGAGCTTTGTCTTGCTCTCTTACTAGTGTTGCGCTGGTTGAGAAATTTGAAACAACGAGGTATAGGGTGAGCATTTCCCCCTCCAAAGGACTTACAAGAACTGGGGGTGAGTTCAGATAATCTTTAAGGGCTCTGAATGCTTCCTCGCATTGGGTATCCCATTGGAACGCCTTTTTTAAGGTTCGGAAGAAGAGTTACTTGTCGCTTGATCTAGAGACAAAGCGACTTAGGGCCGCTATTCTTCTTGTTAAGAGTTGGACCTCCCTCGTGTTTGAAGGTGGTTGCATGTCTATCACTACTTTGAATTTTTTTGGGTCCCCAAGAACTTCCCAGGAGAGACCCCAAAGGCACATTTGCCGGGGTTGAGCTTCATCTGGTATTCCTTGAGGACCTGGAAGGATTCTTACCAGCATGTCATCGATGTACACCTCCATTGATGTTCTGATTTATTTTTGAAACATTCAGTTTACCAAATGTTGGTAAGTAGCTACAACATTCTTTAGTCCAAAGGGCATGACCTGGTAGTAGTATGTCCCCTGCTCAGTTACGAATGAGGTCTTCTCCTAGTTGCTAGGGTCCATTCTAATTTGGTTTTACCCAAAAAAAGGGTCTATAAAGCTGAGGAGCTCATGCCCAACTATGGCATCCACAATTAGGTAAATCTGAGGTAAAGGGAATTTGTCTTTTGGGCATGCTCAGTTTAGGTCGATAAATTCGATGCAGAGACGCCACTTGCCATTGGACTTCCTGACAAGGACCACTTTTGCTAGCCAGGTCGGATAGTCCACCTCTTTGATGGATTTAGCCTGAAGAAGTTTGTTGACTTCCTTATTGATCGCTTTTTGGCTTTCTAGGGCAAAACTACTTCGCTTCTGTTTGATGGGCTTGAAGGTCAGATTCACACTGAGCTTGTGTGTGATGACTGAGGGGTCAATTCCTTGCATATCCTCTTGTTTCCAGGCAAACACCTCCATATTCCTTTTGAGGAATTGAATTAGGAGGTCTTTAACTTCCCTATTTAGCTTAGATCCCACATATATTAGGTGCTCTGGCTTCTCGTCAAGCTGAATAAGCTCTAGCTCTTTGAGGGCATTGGCCTGGTCTCCAACTTGTCTCTCATGTTGAGCTCATCCAGCTAGATATTCTTAACCTCTTTCTTTTTCATGGACACCACATAGCACTCTCGTGATATATGTTGGTCTCCTCGGACCTTTCCAATTTCGTTTTTCGTAGGGAACTTCATGACAACGTGGTAGGCTGAAGGAATGGCCCTCATGGCATTAAGGGAAGGTTTCCCTTGTAGAATGTTGTATGCTAAAGGTGCATCGACCACTAGGAACCTCACAGTGGTGGTGGACTGGTAAGGAGGATCTTCCACAGTGAGCACTAGTTGGATTGAACCCCGGGGTAGCACCCTTTCACCTGAGAATCCCAATAGGTGAGCCCTTACTGACTCAAATTTGTCTCTACCTATATCCATCTTGTCAAAGGCAGGCGTGAAGATGACGTCAGCAGAGCTCCTGTTGTCAATAAGGACTCGATGGATGGTACTATTGGCGACGATGACCCTTACCCCCAAGGGGTCATCCTGGGGATGTTGGTAGCCCTGTAGGTCTGTATCTGAGAAAATGATGTCCATGTTCAGTCGAGATTTTTTGGACACATTATGTACTTTCAGCATCTTGTCAGTTCTGACTCTGCGCATGTGAGCCTTTCTGGATGAGCTGGACTCCCTGCCTCCAGCGAATCCTTCGGATATCACTCAGATTTCTCCTAGAGGTTTTTGAAATATTGTCCCCATAAAAGGTGAGCCACGCTCAATAGGATTTTCTCCAAAAGAGTCTATTCCCCAACCTAAGTGCATATGAAATGTTCACATGCAACATTTAATAAGACACAACCAATCCAATCTAGAATATTCAATTCAATGTTGAAAATCACCATGTCATGCTGTGGAATGAGATGAGACTCACTCATACACTTCAATCCGAGCCTTTCACGGGCTCTCTCAACACATGCAAACACCATATGTATGATCCCCTGGCATTCCAAGCCCCCACCATTGATTTTACACATCCAATGACTATTTAAAATATTCGGATTTTTCTTGGGGTAGGTATTTATGGACTTATACCAACGGGCACCCAACCGATACAGAATTCATGAACTTTCACCAACGGTTCTGCGTACACTGACACACTTTATGGACTAAATCAAGGGCGTGCGTATCCTAATTATCGGGTCTTGCAACCGAGGGATAGTCTAGCCCCTTCTTGCTAACCCCAACCTAATTTTCAATGCAAACCATGCGACTCATTCGAACCTTTGCCCAACTTTTCCTAGCCCACACATCATTCACCAAGAATGGTGTTTGATGAAAACCATGCACACACACCCCTACTCATGCCTAATGCCCATAAATGTGATGTTTCCGTGCATATGCAATGTAATATACAATTGCGATACTAATTTCATGTTCAATATGTTATGAGTGCCATATGAACCATTTTAACAACATTTCAACATATTCCATGACCAATTATATCATATGCATATAATTACCATAAATCATCATAATGTCATTACATCACTAAGAATATATCAACATTATACCCAACAAAAATTTTCAAGCATGTTACCACATAATTTCATGCAAATAACACACTTAATTCTCCAAGGCATAATATAAACATATAGCATGCCCACCTATCACAATTTTCCAAGAAATTACAAGTTAGCAATTTCTAAATATCAATTTAAGCTAGAATTTATTTTATCCATTTTCAATGCCTATTTCATCAAATTAACAACAATAGGTAAGTGCTATACATCTCTAACAATGTACCCATTCCATATCACAACCCTAGGTTAGAAATAAACCTAATTAGGGAGAAAATTCTACCTCTTGATGCGTAAAACAATGGTATAAAGCTCCAAGAACCCGATTCAAGCTCAAATCCTAGCTTTTGCCAAAATCCTGTCATTTGAACTTCATCGAAAAGCCATCCTTTTTGGTACGTAGGAGTAGATTTCGTCGCGTAGATGAACTTTGACTCTTGACCCGAGTCGATTCGACCAACGAAACTCCATAGATTTTAGAGAGAAGTTGGAGATCTTGATTTTTTTCTTCTCCTTTCCCTCTCTTCCTCTTCCAACGTAATCCCAGTTGAACAAAGGGGAAAAAAATTGATTTTCTCCCCTATTTATACTCTTAGGATGCTTGGCCCACGTTGCGCCACATATCCTCTTTTTTTGGGTCTGATTTTATCCTCAAAACGACTAAATTTTATCACGATTCAAGTTCAAAATATTTTTATTTGAACTAGCTTTAAATTATTTTCTAATTTTTCAAATTGAATTTCATAGCTCGTTTTTAGGGTACGCGACACCCGATCGCCTTATAAAACACAATATATTTGACTATCTTAGAATTTGACGAAAATTGTCTGGATAACTAGATTTTGCGAGACGAATCCAACGGTGAGGTCTATTTCCT